AAAAAAAAAAAGTTATTTACATTACAGCAAATATGTGCTATTATTTTTGGCTTCATAATAAAGAACCCTAATTATTTTATTAGATGTTACTTAAAAATGTAACACTGTATCTCTACATTCCTACAACTTTGAAAGCCAAGCTTTATATTTTTCACAATTTTCTCAGAATATCACTTTAGAAAACATTAGAGGATAAAATAATTTTCCACTATCATATAATATCACATTTATCAGGAATCATTCATGTATAGGAAAACAAGAAACAAAAGGAAAGCGCAGGGACATACTCTGTGAAATAAATATGATTTTAGGGCAGAGTCAAAGTCCCAAGAGTCTGGCTGTCATGGAAAGGCCATCCAGTTTTAAACCTCAATTTCCTCCTCAGGGTCTTAAATCTTTAAATATAATTCTACTATAATTCCTAATCCACGTGGAGAGGGAAGACCAGCTTCTGAATTGCATATGTTTTCCACTGTTAACTCCAAGAAGAAACACAAGATTAAACTGTACCACTCTTCACAGGACTGTACTGAGGATGAAACATGAGTTAATAGGTGAAATGTACTAAAATGTACTAACAGGCTACAAGTCTATTGATTTCTCACTCTTCATTACTACTTTTACTAAAACATCTCTCATAGAAATAATTTGTATTAGTCAATTCTAAGGAAATAGGATAAATTTTAGTTATAGGAATTTCAGAAACATTGATCCCAATTAAACATTTACTTTCTTCTTCTATAGATGCTGCCTCTGATGCTGCAAGCAAGAAAAGTGACTCAGGATCGATGTGTCTCCATGAAGCCCTAAACTTACACATACTAAAATAAGAAAGAAATAGTTCTGTATATTATTGTTGTCCTGGCCTTGCATTCCACCACTACCCCTTATCTAGCTCTCTTATCCCTTCTTAACCAGAGACTGCTAGCTTGCCCTAAAATATTCCCTTGAAGTGATTTTTTGTAGTCAAAGCCTGAATAGATTTCAAAGCAAATAATTTGGCACTTACTTACTTCTTTGGCACCATTTAAACACCCTAGGCTTCCCAGGGTCACAACAAACATATTTTTCTAACATGGTTTGACAAATACAATATACTTGTGAGGACTGGGGCAGAGAATTTAAAACCGGTAATCCAGTTGAGTCAAATGTAGGGCACACTCAAAAATACTCATAAAGATTCAACAGACCCAAAGAGCAGAATCAAAGGCTCCTGGACTTAGAATAAACCAAAATTACTATATTCGCATTCACTTTCTCTGTGATGAAGTTAACACTCTTCTAATCTATCAAAAGACTACGCAAATTAGGCAACGTCAGAGAATTACAGAGTATCAAGTAGGCAATCTGCTGTGTCTGATGTCCTTGCTAGAGCAGGAAAACAGGGCAAGGTTTTATCCACAAACCAAATGACCTAGAGCTAGTATAAACATAATTTAAAGTGTTTAAAAATTATTTTTATTTCAAACTTCTTTGGATACTACCATGTTGACTGAGGTTTTGCATTTCTCGTTCTCGACGATCTAATTCTGCAGCTTTTCTTTCTAGTTCTTCCTGGCGTTTAAGAAGTTCGGCTTGGGCCAAAGCATGTTCCTAAACAAAATGTATCAATATGTGAATAGGTTATCAGAAGTACAAAATACTGCAACATGTAAATGCTATGTCTTACTTCTCTCTCTACCATGATAAAAATCTAATTTGAATGTGCTCCCAAAATACAGACATTCATTTAAGATTATAGTGTCAGAAAATATTATGGGGATATTTGGCCCATTTGGTCTTTTTGGTTATGAAAACCAACCCTCAGTGGGAATGTTGGGTCCATTAGGACAGGAAAAACCTCTCGGTAAGAGTAGCCACAGTCCTGAAATAATCTGGAAAATAAAATTAAAGTGAACTCTGTGCCTAAATGAGAGTGAAGAAGAGTCAAGGGGAACAATCAAGGTAAAACAGACAAACAGAAAAAAGGAGAAACGAATTGGCTCTTATAAATTGGACT